CTCAGACCTCTCCTGCTCTTTTTCTTCCTTGCAATCTGACCTGTACCATTTGTTAAAATCAGAATATTGGAGGAAAAGTCAGAAGACTGTTGTTTCCCATCTAGAAGTCAATTGACAGCTGCTGCTTTTAAAAAGTTTATTTTAATATTTTATGTATGTATGCTTGTATGTATGTGTGTGGGCACATGGCTACAGAGTGTGTGTGTAGGTCAGAGGACAACTTATGGGAGTAAGTTCTCTCCTTCCACCTTGTAAGTCCCAGGGATTGAATTCAGGTCATCAGGCTTGGCAACAAGCACCTTTATCCATTGAGCCATCTCTCCGAGCTGCATAGCTGCTTCTACCATACTCTTCTTTAGAGGTTCTTTTTTATATTAGGTGTATAACAGGTCCCCAACACCTTCCCAGAGGTTGTTTTGGACAGTTTTAGTCCCAGGGAAGGGAAGACCTTGTGTCTTTAAACAAACTTACAGTACACATTGGCGTGGTGGCACGTCTTTAGTCCCAGCACTTGGAAGGCAGAGGCAGGTGGATCTTTGTGAGTTCGAGGACAGCCTGGTCTACAGAGTGAGTTCCAGGCAGCTGGAGCTACAGGGAGACCCTGTCTCAAAAAAACCAAAAAAAACCAAAAAAACAAAACCTTCAAAACTCATGACTGAGCATGGTGATATATGCCTTTTATCCAGCACTGGGGAGGCAGTAACAGGTGGATCTCTGTGAGTTTGAGGCCACCCTGATCTACATAGTGAGTTCCAGGCCTACTGGGGCTATAGGGAGACCCTGTCTCAAACCAAAACAAACCACTAAACCAAACCACCCAAAAAACCCCTCATATAGGCATGCAGTTTGAAAGCAAGGAGGATAATCAGAAACATGATAAAATATGCAATTGAAAAGAAATTCAAAGCTATAGTTTGATGGCAGAGGAGATGGCAATTCATGAAAGAGAAGGGTCTTGTGGACCACAGGAGAAGGGGAACTGCTCGATTGGTCCAGCATATATAACTAGGCACTTGACCAAGTGCTTTAGATGAGGCTCTCTCCTCACTTTCCCTGAATAGATGCACAGAGCCCTGCATGCCCCTGTCTAGTTTCCAGGTGGTAAAGCCACCATCAGAGACAGTTGTGGAGGGAGGGGTTGAAAGGGACAGGTCTCTCACTGAGGTGAACTGTGTTGTTTATTTGATCCTGTTGGGCTTTCCTTAACCCCTGAAGAATGTAAGCTTGGTGGAAGTTCCACCCTGCCCCCTTTCTTTACCCATGCCCCTAACCCTTTCAGTGTTTGGATGGAAGCTTCCTTTGATGTCCACCAGCCCTTTCTTTCTCTGCTCACTTCCAGCTGGGAGAACTTGCTCCCTCCAATAGAGCATCCTTGTTCTCTGCCCCAGTGCTTTCATGGAACCCCCAGAGTGTTGCTGTGACCTCAGATGATGTGGCTGGTACAAGGGAGGCTGTGAAGATGGTGAATGAGCATTCCAGAGCTTTCCTCTCCTCTTTTCCCAGGTTCTAGAACACTGTAAGCAGAGGGTTGGCAGGAATGTCTCCGCCTTCATACTTGAGTGAAGTATGTACTGTCCATGCATGGCACCTCTGTGTGCAGAGGCCTGTCACTCATCCCTGGCTGTTCAAACCTAGGAGCCAGAGAGACTGCAGTGGATTTTTAGATGATTCCATAGCCGTACAAGCTCTTGAATAGATAAAGATGATAATACTTACTACCCGAATTCTTGCTTCCTAGAAATGGAGTAGACTTGGATAGCAAGGGATGTTTGTCTATTAATATAGCTTGTTAATATAGTGTGTTAATATAGGGTATATGATTGTTTTTAATAACTTGGATATCTGTTTTAAATTTTGTTTACTTATTTGTATTTGTATTTTTTATGTGTATGAGTGTTTTACCTGTATGTATATAAGTGCACCATGTGCATGCAATGCCTGCAGAGGCCAGAAGTGGGTATTCTAGCCCCTGGAACTGGAGTTACAGATGGTTGTTAGCTGCCATGTGGGTGCTGGGAACTGGATATCTGTTTTATTTAGAAACTGTATTAAATTAATGGAAATTTGGGAAGCATTTTAAATGTGTTTTTTGAGTCACAGAGTATTTTTTTGTGGTATGATCAGTGCTTCCCCTCCATTTTCACATTCTAGCTGTCTACTGTCAGTGTGTAGGAATGCAGTGAACTATTGCATGTTGATTCCCATTTCTTCCATGTTGGGATACTCAGTTATTATAGTTCCAGTGGGCTTTGGTTTTTTGTAGAGTTTCGGTTTGCTATGTAGACAGTCATGTGATCTGAAAATAAACACAGGGTTGTTTCTTGGTTTCTAATTTTTGTTTTTCATTTCTTTTTCTCCTCTTGTTGCACTAGCTCAAACTTCTTCCACACATATTTAGAAAACAGTCCCATATGGATAGTAGAAAGACATACAGTCGTGGTGTGTCTGTGTTCTTAGGCCTCCTTGCTATAAATCCAGGGCCTAAAGGTGGGAACCTGAGCTCACCTGTTCTGCTGCTCACACTGCTGAGGGGATCAGAAGTTTCAGGGGCTCCATGGGGAGTGTCAGGCAGAAATGACTGCCTCTAGAAGTGACTCCACATTGGTGCTTCTGGTGACCTCTGACCTTTCGATGACCCAGAATGAACTCTGTCTCTTGGTGCCAAACCATAGAGCACAACCTGGGTGTATGTCTGGGAGTTTGTGGTGGGCAGGGCTGGAACACTACGCAGGAGGGTTCTAGGACAGCTGGGCTGGTCTCTGTAGGAGCTGTTCATGCACAGGGTGAGTGCCAGCATCCTGCAGGGAGTTGTGGTGAGCTGGGGCTGCAGCACATTCTCCACAGACTGCATCTGGGGAGGTGCCCACCTCTCAGTGCCCAACATCCACTGCATGTGGGAGTATCAGAGTTCAACTTTTTCATGGTGGAATCTGTCAAGTTTCTCATTGTACAGATGGGGAAACGAAGGCAAGGGCATTGCTGATGCAAACACCAAGATCTCTGTAGGGACAGGAGCTGTGTGTCTGGTGGCCAAGGCCTCTGCCCTAGGGAAGATATACCCCAAGTGCATGGTGATTTTTATGTTCTTCATTGAAAATGCAATGATTGCAAGATGCAGCCTTATTTTATAGACCATTGAGGGGAAGAAATAACAGTGCTACTTACATCTTGAAGTTCCCTCACTTAAGTCACGATCCAATTCCAAAGATAAGGGGAAACGTGCCTCCTAGAATAATCAAATGAGGTTAAAATCTTGATAGTCACATAAACTTACATACAGAGTGTCAAAACTGAGTTTTTTCTGCCTCTTCTTAGCAAATTTCACTCCATAGAGGTAACGTTTATAAATGACATTTTGGTGAATGCCCTGGAATATCTGGAAGTACATATATGTAATAATTCCTGTTTTTCTAACACTTGCTGTATGCCAGGCGTGGTACAGAGGATTACATGATACTTGTAAGGCCTATGGACTAGTCCCACAGAATAGATGAGGAAACTGAGGCACAGAGAGGAGGAGCTACTCACCCAACATCATACAGCTTCTAAGAGGCAAGGCCTGAGTGTGAATCCAGGCCTTTAAACTTCAGAACCTGAGCTCTTAACCAACATGCACATGCACCTCAGTATGCAGAGGTCAAAAGAGTGTTCTTCCTTGTGTGTTTTTCTCCCAACCATACTCCATGGGTATCCTTCCATGTCAATGCCTAAAGTGCAACGTCAGCCTCCAGCAGTCACTGGGAATCCTCTTGTATGGCTGTGTGTGTGTACGTGTGCGTGTGTGTGTACGTGTGCGTGTGTGTGTGTGTATGTGGTGTGTGTGTGAGTGTGTGTGTCAGCTCATATCCTACAAGTGAACACTGGTGTTTCTTTTGTAATATAGGTATTACTACTGTAATACTGAGATGACCAATGGTATGCCTCTGTCTTTGAGTCCTCAGGAAAATTACCAGGTTTTCTTCTATCACTTTCATGGTTTTCATTTAGAGACTCAGATTTCAATCTGCTTGCATGTACAAAGGGCTTCTTCATGTTCATGGTGGTCCCATGGTGGCTTCCCATGTTCATGGTGGTCCCATGTCCTCAGCCTCAAAGTACTGAGTGGAGAAGACTAGAGAATGTGGGGACAGCTTTGTTCCTGGCCTGCCTCCCCTTGGTCCCAGGGCAGGAAGTAAGTGGGGGCAGAGCTCAGGGCAACGGGCCATTCTCTCTGTGTGTCCTTGTCCCTGCCTGCTCTAGAGGACCCTTAGTCCTGCATCCTGGTTTTTGTGGATACTAATAATGGCATCTGCTATTTCTGAGCCTCCTGAGAACCGGACACTAAATACGCAGTATTTCTTATCACTCTAGCAGGGAATTGTTCTCTTCATTTTATAGAGGGGGAAACTGAGGCAAGGGTAGAAAGGGAATAGACTTTCAGGTTGCTAATGGCAGAGATGGGGCTCGCCCTCACTCATGTCCCCCTTTACTTGCTTCTCTGCTGGGGGCTGAGTCCTACCCTGGTCTGCATGTGCTGTGTATGATTGACATCTTTGGTGGTCATCAGAATGTCTGAGCTCCCCTCCTCCATACTCAATGAAGTGTGAACAGAGTGTGTCATTTCTGAGCAGAAGAATTTTCTGTGCTCCCTTGCTTCATTAGACATTGAAGTTTCATTCTGAGACAGTGACATCAGAAGGTGGTGGCCCCTTCATGTGGATGGAGGAATGGAGGTGAACCACTGTTACTGTAAGCAGCTGAGATAATTTGTTAATGTTGCTGAGCTTATGTTGACGGATACACTGTCTCCTTAGCTAAGTCTCTTATCCACTTCTAACTCTTGCCCTGTGAGACTTCCTCAGAGACCGTTTTTGGTCTTAAATGAAAGCACTAATAAGAGTAAGAAAGGATTAGTGTGACTGGAGGCTGGAGATGGGGAGCGCTCAACATGGAGGATGTGGCACTGCCTCTATCATATTGGGATATTCAATCTTGACTAACACCCATGTTCCTTTTGTCAGGTGGCCCTTCCCCGGGCGGCGGTGCCCCCTGGCACCTTCAGAATGTCCTCAATGACTCAGTGGAGAGCTCGGATGATGAATTCTTTGATGCTAGAGGTGAGTGAACTCCATCTCCACACTACTGACTGGGTGATCTTTCTAGAAGTCCAAAACAGATGATCTTTGCTGAGGATTAGCTCCTTCTCCACACACACTTGCAGCTTCACACTCCATAGTATCCAGTTGGTGGGAGCAGGGACTCAGTAACCACCCCTTCACTCCTTGAAATACTTATCAAACTCCTAACATGGACCAGGTGCTTGGGACACCATGGAATATAGTGAGCATGGTCTATGTCATCATCAGATTATAGTCTAGCTTAAGAGGCAAAAACTTCAAGATGATACAAAGGAAAACACAGTTACTGGTAGTGAGTGATGCCATCAGGTGAAAAGTACCAGCTGGTGTGAGGGAGGATGCCAGAGTGCCTGCTTTGGTGTGGGTGGGGTATCCTTTCTGCAAAGCCAAGAAGTAGGAGTTTGCCAGGTGAGGAGCGGAAGAGTAAGCTTTCCAGACAGATGAGAGAGCAGTTAAGATAACTCTGGATGAGGAAAGACTACAGAGCATTCTGGACTCTGAAGGGAGGCCCATGGGGCAGATGGGGTGATGTACCAGGGGAAGAGGAGTGAGATGAGGGTCTGTGATGGGTCCATATGTGACTTCTAAGATGGGCCTCACATAGATGTGGAGAGAGACACCAGTGAATAGTGGGCATCAAGATGCTACCCAAAGGGGCACAGAATGGAATTTCAGGCAGAGAGTACATCAGGCAAGGCACAGAGGTGTGAGCAGAGGAGGGAGGCTCAGGGAGTGAGTCAACCTGGAATTAACGAGAAGACACAGCAACCATGCCCAGGTGGTCAGAGTATGAGTGGGTGAGAAGCCCCATCAGCCTGTTCTGGCTCCCTCTGGCCTGCCTGGTCCTACTCTGTGAAGTCACTAAGGTTAGGGTGTTGACTTATTCCTCAGAAGGGATCACTTTGAAATACTTGGCAAACATGGTCGTGAAGACTGATGGTGCCAAACAGCATCTGGACACACAGCAGGACAGCGGAGACTGGTCTCAGCACGCCCTTGACTTGTTCTTTGGCCTCAGACAGGTCTTTCCCCTTCCCTGAGCCTTAGTTTCCCTATCAGCTCTGTGCAGCCCTAATTGGAGAATACTCAATTCAGGTGATTTTTCAGGGAAGCGTGACTGGATGAGGGGCACTGTCGGCACTTACGTCTTCCCTATCCTTGGCTCTAGGCAGAGAACCCCCTTCCCAGTGCGGTCCCTAAACCAGCCCACTCGGGGCTCATTTCCCATCTCCCCTTGGTTTTTGATTGGAGTGGCTGCCAGGGCTGAGTTTCTCCATAGCAACTAGCCCACAGTGTGACAACACGGCTTCAATATTTTGATGCATAGAAGAGTTTCATTTCAATATTCCTGAAGTTCATCAGGGCTCCATGGCCCCAGATGAGAGGATGGCGTGCTGCAGGAGGCAGGTGGCTGTGGGTGGCAGAGTCAGATCTGTGCCTTGGGTCCTGCTCACCTGTCTTCCCTGCCAGCAGCTGTGGATCCTCCCTGATCCCCTCTCTGGGGACCGCCTTCTCTCTCAGCCTCCCTCAGCTGTGTCTGTCCTGCCCTATCCAGTCTCAGTGAACGTGGCCTCACTGCTTGCTCCTCTGTCTCTGTGGCCTCACCTGCTCTTCCCTTCCTTTGCCTCACCACATCCTTCTTTTCCTTCTTTTATCTCAGGATTCAAGAGACTCTCTCTCAGGGTGTGGTCTCACACCCAGACCATATTAGAGCTGGGATGCTCCTCAAGATCTTGTGTGTGTGTGTGTGTGTGTGTGTGTGTGTGTGTGTGTGTGTATTATGTATGTGTGCCTGTTTGTGTGTGGAGGTCAGAAGTCAACCTTAAATGTCATTCCTCAGGTGCCATCCACCTTGCTTTTGGAGATGGGGTCTCTCCATCATCAATTAGGCCAGACAGGCTGGTCAGTAAGCCCCAGGGACCCACCTGTCTCTACCTCCCCAGTCCTGGGATTATAAGCATATGTCAAATTGCTAGCCTTTTACATGGGTATTAGGGATTAAACCTGAGTCCTCATGCTCACACAAGCAAGTACTCCTGTCCTATTTTATAAGCTGAGAAACCAAGGCTGAGGAATCCTGTTTAAGCACACACACAGTAGCAGAGCAGGGGCTATAATTCCACTTCATGTAACCCCGCCTTCAAAAGTGCTTACTGTGTGGGGGCTGGAGAGGTGGCTCAGCGGTTAAGAACACTGGCTGGCTATTCTTGCAGAAGAACCAGGTTTGAATCCCAGCACATGGGGGCTAACAACTGTCCATAACTCCAGTCCCAGAGGATCCGACAGCCTCTTCTGTCCTCTGTGGGCATTGTATGACATGAGTGCACTTACCTACATGCAGGCAATACACGCATACACATGAAATTAAAAAAAAGAATAAATGAAAAAAATTAAAAAGTGCTTACTGTCTGCCCAAACAGTGCTAGACCCCATCCTCGGTGTACAGACTGGAGACAGACCGGGTCCCAGCCCTGTGGGTCTTACCGCTTAGTGGTGGTGTCACATGGGAAGGGAAAAGACAATATACAAGGAAAGAAATTACATTGAGAATTCCCATAAGTAAAATAACACAAAGGAATAGACACTTTCATCGAAGAAGATGCATGAATGGCAAACACACACACAAAAAGTTGCTCAATGACCAGTGGTCATTACAGAGATGCAAATCAAAACTGCAAAGAAGGCTAGAAGGATGGGTCAGCTGGAAAGTGCTTGTCTGGCAAGCACAGGGGCCCAAGTTCAATCTTCAGAACTCACATAAAAATGCCAGGCATTGTTGTAATCTCAGCACTGGAGAGACAGTCACAAAAGGATCCTTGGATCTCACTAGCCAGTGTGGTCTAACTGGTGAACTTCAGGCCAATGAGAGACCCTGTCTCTGTGTGTGTGTGGTGTTCCTGAGGATGATACCTGAAGTTTTCCTGCACATGAACACACCTGCAGGCACATATGCATAAACAAATTGCAGATGGGCTGTGAGATAGCTCCGTGGATAAAGGCACTTGCCTCCAAGCCTGATGACCTAAGTGCTATCCAGGGGTCCACATGGCAGAAGGAGAGGATCAACTCCCACAAGCTGTCCTCTGACCTCCACATGCCCACCATGGAACACATGTACCCCATAATACACATATATGCACATGGAAAATAAATAAGTTAAAATGTGGTAAGAATTAAAAAGCAATCTACGCACCTACTAGAATGATTTATTAAAACAACTAAGCTGTGGAGGAACTGGACCTTCCAAACTATTCTGGAGGGGAGGGCATACCATTTAGAAAATGGATGGCAGATGCTGGGGAACAGTGTGGGGTGGGTGTGGTTCAGTGTGGAGACTTGCCTAGTATGCACAAGGCCCTGGGTTTGATCCCCAGTACCACAACCCTTCTACCCCTAGGTTTTTATTTAAGTTCTGGGAAGCATTATAGCAGGTGGATTTATTCTAGTCCCAATCTGAAAACAGTCCAAATGTATATCAGTGAGCAAATGGGTAAACAGTGTGGTCCAGTAGAAAGGAAGGAGCTGAAGCATCCAACAGTGAAGCCGACTTCAGTGCATACCGCACTATGAGAAAACGTCAGATGGAGCAGAGCCCACCATGATTCCTCTGACAAAATCTTTAGAAAATGCAGCCAGCCTGTAGAATAGGAGCTGATCCAGTGGTCTCTCAGAGCGGGAAGGAGAGGTAGAAATAACAGGAGAAAACTGGGGTGATAGGTTCACAATCACTGTCTTGCTTGGGGTGATCGGTGGTATTTACATATGTCAAAACATCACATTGTCCATTTAACTTACTCACTTTTCTCACATGCCTATTAGAAGATTTAAATTTACATAATGAAAACTAAGGAAAGATGAAAGGCATCAAGGTCAAAATAAAAGTTGTTAGAAATTTCTGTTCAAGTGCACTTCTAGATGCGTCTCCTCTTGTGGTCAGTGATGCTGCTGAAAATGTGGTATTCTGTTTTTGCACATGATGACATGTTTAACCATTTCTATTGTGTTTCACTTCACATTGTGCATTTTAAATAAGTGTAACTTATTGAATGCTAAGAATATGTCAGTAATGTTTAAAAATGGAAGCTTTGGGTTAGTGAGATGGCTCAGTAGGAAAAGGAGCTTGCTGGGCAAGCCTGGTGACCTGAACTTAATTCAAAGAACACACGATAAAAAGCAGAGAACCAACTCCTGAAAATTGTCCTCTGACTTCAACATACATGCTATGGCATGCACATACCCGTGTTCACATATACTCATTATATGCACACATCATACACATACAATAATACAATTTTCAGCTAAGGAAAGCTCATTCTGAATAAAATCTAAGTGAATGTGACAGAATGAGCAGCTAACTGGAGGACACTCCCAGAGGATGAGCCATGAGCTGAGACAGATGACTAGCTAGAAGGGAACCATACATAGGAGCTGTGGGTCCTCAGGAATAGCTGGGATGAACTTGACATCTTTGGGCAGTGGTGGGGAGGCTGGTGTGGCAAGTGAGTAAGAGAACCTGTTGGTGCTGCTGCTCCACTGAGGCTGTGAAAGGTTGTCAGCATCTTCTGGATCTGCTTTCCATGCTGACTCAGATTTGCCCTGGCACCCATATCCCTGTCCCACAGGAGACCAAAGACAGAAAGCTCTATTATGAGCTGGACCTGCTAAATAGAAGCAGGTCTAGATCTTGAGTGACAGCTGGACATTGTGGGTAGTGACAGTTACTAGCTGATAGGCAGCCTAGCTGAAAAGCAAGAGGTCAGTGAGCCAAGCAGGTCTAGAGAGCAAATGAAAATGGCCTTGGGACCCCCACCCCTGAAAGGACGCAAAATTGGAGTGAGAGTATCATCCACAGCATCCAATAGACCCCCTGGGATATGGTTGGGTATGTCAAGCACAGGTCGCTTTATGCTCTATTTCTATAGCAAAATATATGTCTTCCCTTTGAAAAGGTGCACCCTGAACATTAACCTTCTATTTAG